TAAACTTTTGTTTGTTTGAATGCACACAACTCATTCCAACCTAATGAGCTGGATTTTCTTTGTAGAGCTACTTGGACACAGACTTATATTTATATTCTACAGACGTATGCCCACTCAGAGGACTGCTCATGATGCAATACCTTTTGTTCCATAATATTCAAATACTCTGCATGGAAAAATCAGTTGAAGTAGCACAGCATCTGAAGTTGGAGCGGTATCGTAGTATTCCGATAACCAGTATCGGCTGTACAGATAACTCATTTCAGCATTACGTCAGTAGAGTTTTATTCAGCAATAAAGCAACTTTACCACCTAATACTAACTACTGGTTTCCCATTTGAAGGACAACAAAAAGAACCATAAATGTGTTTTCGTTTCCCAGCAATAGCTAAATATGCGACATGTACTTCTTTTCCATGGCAATGGGGACATGTACCTAATGTGGGAAATAAAGTCCAGCAAACATGCAGGAATGCGTGTTCCCTCAACATGCAGCATCCCCGCAATGCCCTGAAACTGGGATCAAAAGGTAAAAAGCATTCGTTTTACTTTTGTTTTTAGGAATGTTTTGTGAACGGGAACACACTGAGAAGGATTTATAAAAACGGGAGCAGACATAATCTGCAGCAGCTGTGCATGGCAACCAATCAGCTTCTCTCTTTCATTATCAAATCTTAATTGAACAAACTGAAGAGAGAAGCTGATTGGTTGCCCTGGACAACTGCTCCAGTTTCTGTCTGCTCCAGTTTTGATAAATTCTTTTATTTTCAAATTTGACTGCAAAAGTGATTTATATCTGTTGAACAAGTGCAAAACATTCTTGTTGATTATGTCAGAAATCTTGTCAGCTGATACCTTCCTTTGCTGTCTGCCAGTGAACCAGGAGGGGTTATAATGATCGGGGGGAGCTGGCCTTACATGGACCAAGTTTTGGTTGTTTCCTGCTAAATCATCCAAATGTCACTCTGCGGATGGCCCTGCCAGCACCACCCTGCTCAACAAAAGTACATTTTTCTATCACATTTTGATGAAGGAGCTGGTTAGAAAAAGTGTTGGCTGAACAGTGACTGCAGGCAATCAGCTGCAGTCACTGGTTGAGTATTCTAACAGCCACGGACTCGGCTGTCTAATTATAATAGCCGGCAAAAGACGTTCCTCCATCCAAGCTGTTTTATTATACAGCGCCAACAGTTTCCGCAGCGCTTTACAAAATAAGGAAGATATCACAATACAATACAAGACAAGATGGTAAGGAGGGCCCTGCCCGTGAGGGCTTACAATCTAAAAGTTAGGGCCGAG